ATATTAAATTGAGACTTTTATTTAACAATCCAGTGATCGAACTCAAGAGTGAGTTATAATTAAACGATTTATCGAGAAATCCGTTATAATACATATGTCTTCGAGTTATCACTGGAGCAAATTCGAAAAATACTATTTTAAGAAAAACACGTTTAAAGAAAAACTGATGTATTGAACTGGGCGGCTACCCTTTGAATGGCTGTAACTAAAAAACTATTTAAAAGATCGATTTGAAATTTTAGTGGGATATTTCAAAAGGGATAAACTATCAAAATATTTTTTAAACATTTCACGACATGTTGAGAGGTTACGAGATATGACTTCAAGAAAAGATGTTGTAAATATTACTTAATTTAATTAATTAAATATATATATAAATGGGGTTAAATCTTTAGGATAAAAGGTATATGCTTTTGAATTCTATCATCTCACCATCCCTCATGGTATCTATCTAAAAATAAATAACAAATAAACTAAATAAATTACACTATCATATACATATACGCAAAATATTTCTAATTAATTAATAAAATATTCTAAAACTAAGCAATACTTAATTTATTTCCCAGGAAGTCACGGCTATCGAAAGTCTAATACATTGAAAGAATTATCGCGAAAACAAAAACATACACACCGAATATCTAATGAGGACTTTGAGTGAATGAACGATCACAGGTACAGAAGAGTGTCTGCTCCAACTCCTACCTTAGACCAAACTATCGATAATTTGTAAAAGTCATCGAGACTTGCAAAATTTATGGTTGCTAGAATGTTCGAGTGGTGATGTTTTGGCAGTGATCTACACAAAATTCGTGTTTTCATAGACAAAAGAGGTTTTCATGCGAAAACTTGTGTTTTCATCCATACAAAATCTGTCAAACGAAAACACAGTTTTCGCTGAAAACCCCTTGAAAACTTACATTCCACTTATTATAATCGGTGCCTGCCTGTTAATCGATATTTTTAGAAGACATATCTTGCCAGCCCTAAATGTCAGTTGACAATTTGTTTACATTCCATAATTGGCCTGACCCTACAAGAAACTGCTGATGAGTTCACCAATACACTCACATTTGATATGTCAGTACTGTTAATTTACATTTGCATTTTTAAATTCAGAACTATTCACTGATTGGAGAAAAACGTACGCAGAGCTATTGAGAGGAGGAGATGGCATCAATATCTTCTTCTTCGTTATTGGTAGCAATGAGTAGTTATCATCATAGAGGAAGTGAATTTAAAAACATTAAGTTCGATAATTATAATTATTTTTGTGTGGTTTGACAAGAGGTAGCGTAACTTGATTATTATTTCTTTGTTCCAATATTCCTAGCATCCGTTGGAAGGCTAAGGTAGTTGTGCGTCTTCTCCAGTATACGAGTCATTCATTTGAAGCGCAAACAAATATTATTATTTTTTAATTTAAAACATAAATAAATAATATAATTTATTTACATCCTAGCTTACACTTTTTAAAAGCTCGATTGAGGTGCAAAAGCCCCAAATCAAAAATAAAGTCTTGAGTCCCATAACTTATGTATATATGGTATTTAAATTTTTCATAATTGTAAACAAAAAAAATTGTACATCTGTCATGTGCTATGTTTATAGAGTCTAATCAGATTTATGTTCCGCATGCGCTGTTAATGCCCTGCGCTGTTATGCTCTGTATCGCTAATTAGAAAACAATTGGGAGGATTTGACGGCAGTGTGACGAACACGGTTGCCAGAATAAAACAGAGTATCGAGAATGATGCATAAATCATCCAGACATGCGAACTTCGTGGTCGTCAGAATGTTCGTGTGGCGACTTTTCGGCAATGATGTACTATTTAAGAGATACCGGATTGTGCAGCAGACACAATGCTGCCGTGTAAAGAGTAAATGAGATAAGTAAAAAGTTGTAAATTCGGATAATGAGTAATAAAGTGTTAAGTTGTTTCGGTTAGAAATACAAATAAGCGTATAGCCATTAAACTGATATTTTTAATTAACAATCCAGTGATCGTACTCAATATAGAGTTCGTACGTAGACCATTTATCGATAAATCCGTTACAGTATAAATCTATCAGTGTAAATCACTACCACAAATCTTAAATATAATTTGATTAACAAAATAGTTATTTGTATTACATCATTATCAACATTATTAAATTCATGTTGCTTCGGAAAAAAAAAATTACAACGTTCAATGTCGAGCAACCCCTGTTGTTTTTGTTGATTTGGCTATCTACTTGTAATCCCCGCTTGGGTGTTAATGTTCGAAGTCATCTAAAGATAGGCCCAGGAAACGTGCTGTTTTGACAAGGTCGAACCATAGGGATAAGGGTGTTAAATAAGTGGGTCCCCTGGGCATGGAAAGAGGGGGTTAGAGTCATGCGGAGATTCGTTGCACGCTGGACATATATTTCGTCTATCGCTGTCAATTCTGGATAAGTAGGAGCTTAACCTTCTACAGTATCCAGAACAAAGTTGCGCAAGGGTCACTCTAGATTCTCGCGGCAACTCGAGCTCTTCGTTTGCAATGGGTGGGGGTTTCACTAAAAGTACGCCATTCACTAAGACGGAGTTAGTGAAGGTGTTGATGGCATCCGAAGTCGGGTCGGCATACTATTCGATGTCGTCGACGTAATTAAGGAAAGTCCTCTTGATGTTCCTAGGAGGCGGATCCGTTTCACGCAGACTACTGCAAGGATGGTTTCTGCGAAAAAATGCAGCAGATATTGCTTGGAGAGGAGTTCATTCTGTTCCTTGACCGGAAGGTAGCGGACCTTGCGGTGTGATGTTTTACCGGAGACATAAAGAGGCTTCCTGTTATAGTCGAGAGTATTTTGACACATCTGAAATTTCTGCGTTTGCATTTCACTACATCCAGGCGACCATTGCGGTGAGATTTGAGGATTTTGCTGCAGCTCTGTACTTCGACAATTATCGCGGGCGTATGAGGAGTGAAGGAGGACAGTCTGTCGTATCTCATTTTGGCTGTAATGTTAAGATCCAGTCTGTACTCCCTTGTCCAGTTCCCTTGTCCAGTTCGTTAATGTGGTTTTAGTGGACAGTTTTAAGCTCATTGCGGAGAAGATGATAGAAAAGTCGGAGATACAGTAGTTTACTTCGAACACATGCCATCTAGTAGCGCCAAGAAGTAGCGCACCTATGTTCGGGTGATATCCTGTTGGGCAACATGTAACTTGGGAGATGTATATTTTAAATATTTCGAGCTTGACATCGCCTGACCGGATGGTTATGCCCTGACATTCATGGGTAGTATGCCTGCGGTCGATGTCGCCATCGATAAGACGATATTGCATTGTGTTGTGCGGTATGAAGGCTAGGCCTCCATCATTATTTCACCCCCTGTCGGGCGACGTGGCACCCCATGAATTATCGTGTGTTAATCATGAATTCATTGTTATTATCTAAACCTTATACTTACATACATAAGAATAAGTTAATTTTAATCGTTGAATCGTTTCCCCACTTTCCCCAGAAATTTCAACACAATTACACAACTGTTATTCAAGGACTAACACCAACGCACACTTATTGAGCATTTCTCTTAGAACCGATTTCGAAATTCAAAAACAAACAGAACTTGTTTAGTCATTTATTGACCTTATGGAATGAAGGCGAATGAGAAAACATATTTGTCATAAGTGCCATAAGAATAATCCTTAAAAAAAATTTGCGGGCTTTGAGCGCGGCGACCGAGTCAAGAAATTCCGTAAAGAAAATAAACCTTACACGATAACAAAATATGCGCAAAATATTTGCATACTTGTAGGCTTATTTTCGCATATCTCAAGCAGAACAAATCAATTGAAGAGCAGGTTGATTCAAAAATAATAATATATAAGATACATTTCTTTATGGCAAATAAAAATATAGAATTTAATTTAATTTATTTTTTAATTTAATTAACACAAAATAAATTATTCAATATTCGAAGACATAATAATAGTAAGATTAATACTATTTTGGTATATACTTAGCTACCCCACCTTTTGGAACAGTATCATGTTTGACTTGAACAATACAATCGGATTATCAATGGTAATAAATTTCCACTTATCTTGGCTGCCGGTTTCAACATCAACTTCGCGGATAGAATACCTGAGTGGTTGAAAACTTTTCTTTCGGAAAAATTAAATTTGAAAATGTATAATGACCCACAAGAATCGACAAGAAAATATGTGACCACCATTGAAGCGGGATTTTCAAGATATTTAGACGATATCAAGTCTCAAATTTATGTTTCTTATATCAGTCACCATGAGCCTATAGTTTCAATGATAAAACTTTAAACAATATTAACTAATATTAAAATAAAAAAATTGCCCTGGTCGGTCCAACACCGCGGTGTTCATAATTCAATCGCATCAAACTTCTTTCCGACAAATAAATTTTAAACAATATTAACTTCTCGTTTATTTAATATTTCAACATAATTTGGTTTCTTATCGATCACCACGCTCAAAAAGTTAACTTCAAAAGTGTAATATCAAAGAAAACATTACAATACTGTATAAATTATAAATAAATAATTATAATTGTATAAATATAATTGCATAGCGCGGCAGTCCCCGAGTGCGAAATGTGTAAATGCCTCGCATTGGATGTCTTATTAATGGATGGATGTGGTTGATGAAACTCCAACAGAAGAATATGGACTCATTAATTGGGGTAAATTTGTATGTCCATATATGAGTTCTGTATCATACATTTTGTTTTACATGCAAAGGAATCCAATCTTTGCTGGGCTAAAAGGGATTAAACGTTTTCGGTTTCATCCATTTTGATATGCCTATAAAAATCAACTACGGCAACTTTCTAAATTTATAAGCGGCTTAGGTTTATATTTTGTTTTATGTTATATATATTGTAGTTTAGGTTAACTTTAGATATATAAACAACAGTTAAGTATGTAAAATAAAATATGTGTAATAAATAAAAAAATTTACATATAAAAATTTTGACTGAAATTTTAAAAATACTTTAAATTAGGAATTCGAAAATGCATCCCTGAGCCAGCTGACGATTAGAGAAATTATATAGAAAAAATATACGTACGTGTAAGGAGAGAGTGGTGGGGGTTGTCAGTAGTTTTTAAGGTTTGAAAACCTAGTTACACTAGTTTTTTAACCACTTTTGGCTGGCAGAAACTATATCGTTTTATGAGGGTCATTTGATTGTGGTCGCCCTCTTTCCTGAATATGAATAAATCAAAAGTATAAATGTTAATAGACAATTCACCATTTTGTTGCGAATCGGTTAAGGAAATTGTTTTAACGAAAATTCATTCAATAAATTTTTTTGTTTCATAGTGTCGAGACTACCTGAATACCTTATATACTGAGGTTGTACAACGCTGTATATATGGTCTTACTGTGTATTGTACCTAATGTTTATCGTTTAAAGTATCGATTAGTGCATTAGTTCTGCATTCTGGTAGATTAGTACTTTGTGTTACCCCTTTGAGTTCTAGGTTTTATGTGCCGGCATAGTCCAATTTTCTTCGATTAAATATCAATTCTAAATAAATATCTTTTAAAACAATGTCGTATCAGTATCATCAAATAGCCAGTTTACTAGAAAAAGTAAAAAACATTAAACCTACTTGGTTAGTATAGATTCAGAACTATGTTTTATTTCAGATGACTTCTAGTGACAAGGATTTTCGTTTTATGGCAACAAATGATTTAATGACGGAATTGCAAAAGGATAGTATTAAGCTCGATGATGAATCTGAGAAGAAGGTTGTACGTATGATATTACGTCTATTGGAAGATAAAAATGGCGAAGTACAAAATTTGGCGGTCAAGTGTTTAGGACCTCTGGTAAACAAAGTAAAAGAGAGCCAAGTTGAAACTATTGTGGATTCCCTTTGCTTAAATATGATATCGAATGTGGAACAACTTCGAGATATATCCAGCATTGGTTTGAAAACAGTTATATTGGAACTTCCGCAGTCATCAAATTCTTTAGCGCCTAATGTTTGTAGGAGAATAACTGGAAAGCTTAACAGTGCTGTAGAAAAGGTATATATGGATAATTAAAATGGTTGCGTTTATAATATTTATCGTATCTATTATGATACAGAAAATGGGAAAACTTAAGAATACGGTCCCAGGCTTTTGGGGATAAAATGGGTATGGGCGAATAGAGGAGATCCTCTAGATCATGAATATATTTAGATATATAGCCGCTGGAAACTTATAGTTTTCGAGATATTTACGTTTAAAGTTGTAAATTTCAACTATTTAAAGTACGAATTTGTTCGATGTTTCGAAATTGACGTCATTCTTATTTATTTATTTATAGTTTATTTTTCACGTACAAAAAGATTATTTCTAAAAAGAAATTTCTTCCAGCACACCTAGTAAAATAATAGCTGCCCGCCCTGGCTTCGCCCGTGGTACTTACATGTATAATACATATAAACCTTCAAGAATCAGTCTATCTATTTAAAAAAAAACACATCAAAATCCGTTGCGTAGTTTTAAAGATCTAAGCATACTAATAAACGCAATACTTAAATAATAACTACAACATTACATAATTAATAAAAGTACATATTAATACTATACTTATACTTAAATACATGTCTCATACTAAGGAAAGATAATGTTCTTGTGATATTTTGCAAGTATTTAATGGTATTAATTATTGAACTCATTATTTATTTATTTATTTATTACAAGGTCAAGGCATGTCTACATTATTTTTTTAAACTATAAATAACATCGTACCTATAAAAATAGTTTGTATGCGACACTGTGTTTATTAAACGAAGATTGGCGGCGACTCGGAGAATAAACGAAATCGGCGCTGTTTAAACAAAGTCGGCTTCCTTTGTCTTTGGCGCGCACCGCTGAAAAAATCGATGACGTAATTTATGGACGGCCCCAAAGTGGGTGCATTAGGACCTCCCATCCGAGCTTCTGGCGCGTCACCAAAGACGTGTGTGACCTGGCGTTGTCCTGATGGAACACAATTCAGCCTCTGTTGATCAAAGATGGCCTCTTCTGGATGAGTGCTGCTTTCAAGCGGTCCAGTTGTTGGCAGTAGAGGGCCGCTTCCCCGAGCTTTGACCACGACCGTTTGCGCTCGATGTTGTCATAAGTGACCCATTTTTCATCGCCAGTCACACTCTGCTTCAGAAACGGGTCGATTTTGTTGCGATTCTGCAGCGATTTGCAGATGGAAATTCGGTCCATCATGTTTTTTGCGTTAGTTCGTGTGACACCCAAACATCGAGCTCCTTTTTGAATCCAAGGTTATGCAAATGGTTCCAACCGGTTTTCTGTCTTATCTTTAGTTCCTCAGCAATTAAATAAGTGCTCACGTGACGGTCGGTTTCCACCGACGCGTGGTGCATCTTTGACATCGAAATTCCGGAACGGAACCTAGCAAACCACTTTTGTGCTACACGTTCGTTTACAGTATCGGGCCCATAAACGAAATTAATTTTTTCAGTCGCTTATGCTGCTTTTTCGCCTTGATCGAAGAAAAATTGTAAAATATAGCGAATTTTCTCTTTGCTGGTGTCCATCTTTGACGAGCGCTCACAACGCTGGGTCAATCAATCGAAAAACTGTCAAAGATAACTTTTAGCGTGAATAAACACGTTTTCAGCGCCGTATAGTATGATGCGACACGTAACACTAATACTATGGACAATAACGCCATCTCTTAGATAAAAACCGAACGAACTTTTTACTTTACCTAATATTTTGAAAGCGAATTAAAATAAACAATAAAAGAGGATTATACTCCAAATCGAACTATAATTTTGTTCATTCTCTTCTATTGATAAATTATGGTATTGGATTGGCCAGGGTTATTTTTTTGAAGCGCGGCCGAAGGCCACCAGTGCAGAAAGGAGTTTGACGCGATTGAATTATGAACACCCCGGTGTATGTAGAAACAATGCTAGTGTATAATAAGTGCATAATATAAAAGAAAAATTAACTACAATATAAATCGAGAAATTGCAAGATAAAATTTGTCAAATTTTCAACTTAAGATGCAAATATCTAGAAAGCTTTCCGGCGGCTATATCTATATCTGTCGTGGTGCGTCGCGGAGTATTCGAATATAAGTATAATATATGAATATATTACACAATATATCCATATATACATATATATTTGTCTTTCCTTAAATCACTGCGACGATGGGTCTCCGTTTATGAGAAATTTCACTGTATTTAATGCAGATAAGGCCTCCTTAACACATAACTTTAGGGGCATCATTTTTGTCTTCGCGGTCTATATTGCGATTACTGATTTCAGGGTATAACGCATAAAAACGCAACAATTTCATGATCTGTTAAAAAATCCGCTACATTGAAGTTCTTCATCACAATGGATATATTCTTGGAGATTTGGTATTTCTTAAACACCCACCCCAACTTCTTAGCTCATACCTCTGATGGAGTGAGTGAGTTACAAAATCTTCCCTGAAAGAAAGAAAAAAATTTTACTGATACACCCATGTGACTTTACCTTTTTAAAACAGTTAGAAATTGTTTCAGGTTTCACCAGCCACCAGGCTCTTTTAATATTGTGAAGAACGTGCAATACAAGATACAATTCAAAAGTTCCAGGACTTTTTAAACAACGCGGCTTCTAGTGGCGCCATCTGTCTGAAATTGTTATCCCTCAATTGTGTATTCTTCAGTGTTGTCGTATAAAATTTATATTGTATAACAGCAGACTTGTATAATAGCTGAGATATCGCGCTACATGTGACATTACATTTGTAGTGTCGGTCGGAAAATGAGCATCGAACAAAGAGCCAACATTAAGTTTTGTTTTAAACTTGGTAAAACTTTTACCAAAACTCATCAAATCATGAAACAAGTTTTTGGCGATGATTGTCTATCCCGTAGCCGTATTCACGAGTGGTTTAAACGTTTTCAAGAGGGACGGGTAGACTTGGAAGACGACGAACGTTCGGGCCGGCCAAAAGATGTTGTGAACGAAAAAAACACGGAAATTTTGCGTGAATTCATTAAAAAAAGAGACGAAATCATCGCTTAAATATATGGAATCGGAATTATCAATATCCGCAGCGTCGATTTATCGTATTTTGACAGAAAATTTGGGTCTCAGAAAGGTTTGTGCTCGATTTGTCCCGCACACTTTGAAGCAACACGAAAAAGACCTCAGAATTCAACATTCTTTTGACCAAAAATCGCATTCATATCATCAACCATTCAGCCTTTTCGCCTGATATGGCACCCTGCGGTTTTTATTTGTTCGGAAAACTACATTTGGCCATGAAAGGAAACCGCTATGCTGACGTTGATGCCATCCAAAAGGTGACGACCGCCATCCTCAACGCTATACCGACAAATGACCTAAAAAAGTCATTCGATAACCTTCTTGAACGTGCAAAACGTTGTATTCAGGCGGAAGGAGACTATTATGAAGGCGACCAATAAATTTTTCAAAAAAAAAAAAAAATAATATTAGTTTTTTAATAAAAGTCTTGAAACTTTTGAATTGCACCTTGTACAGAAATAAATTCAATCAAAGTTTGAAGTAGAGTTCCTTGAATAATTGCATTTATCTGTTTTTGAATTCGAATTTTCGTATACTCTGCTCTGCCCATGCCTTGGTCAAGAGGTTGAATTAGAGCAGTGGCGTTATATTTAGGAAATTATATTTCTATGTTATGTTTTATGGCAGGAAGCGTTGTCTACGCATAACACATTTTTTTATTTTTGGCGACTATTTACATATCAAGTTCTTGAATAATGAACTGAAATAAACCGTTTTTATATTTTTAAGCTATTGCATAGAGTCTATCGTGTCGCGCGGGGACAGAATTAAGAAACTCCGTAACGGAAATAAATCTAAGACGAATAATGTTTGTATATCTGTCGACATGATTCAAAAATAATAAAATTAAAGATACAATTTTTTTAATGGCAAATAAAAACATGGAATTCAATAAAAATTTAATTAAAACAAAAATTATTCAATATTCGAAGTCATAATATTAGTAACATTATTATTATTTTGGTAAATAGCTACCCCACCTTTTGGAACAGTATCTCGTTCGAATTGAACAATATAATTGAAATTAGGTATTTCAATCGGATTTTCAATTTTATTAAATTTCCACTTATCTTGGCTGGCGATTTTAACATCAACTTCGCGGATAAAATATCAGAGGGGTTGACAACTTTTCTTTTGGAAAAAATAAAATTTGAAAATGAATAATGATACACAAGAATCGACAACAAAATATAGGACCACCATTGACGCGGTATTTTCCAGATATTTAAAGAATACCAAGTCTTAAACTTATGTTTCTTATTTCAGTTACCATAAACCTATAGTTTCAATGATAAAAATTCCTGAATAACCTACATGTATTGTAAGATAATACAAATATTTTAAACAATATTAACCTCATTTATTCAATAAAAAAAAACAATTTGTTTTCTTTTCGATCACCACTTTCAAAAAGTGTAACTTCAAGTAATATCAAACAAAAAAATATTGCATAAATAATAAATAAATATAATTTCATAAGTTGTTGTTGTTGTAGCGGCAGAATTTTGCCGAGTTGGCAGTCCTTGGCCGGGTCCGTTCCGGTTACGTAGACCCGACTGTTATGGGAACGGATTGCATAAGTTTATAAAAAATGCTATGCAATAGCTTTACCGCGGTAGTCCCCGAGTGCCACACGTATCTTTTTTTTTTTTTTTTTAAATTAACATGTGTTCAATTGCGATCACTGACGCATACAATTCGGTCAGTTTTTTTCGGTATTTTTAATGTAACGCATTTGTGCCGAGAAATAAGAAGAATTAGTGGTCAGTATAAGAAACATTTTAAAGCAAGCTTTTGGACAAATGGACTATTAAAAAAAACTGCATATTATTTAAATACAAGCTGTACATTTAAGAAAAGGTCATTTGACCATTATGGAGAAGTTGGAAACGTGGCTGACAAGCCCGGATGAGGGAAGAATCACATGACCTCTAAAAGTAAGGACAAAGCTACTGTTTTCCTTTTTGAGA